AAAAATAGAAGGTCCGTGGCAGTTACGTGCTTCCACCGTCCGTTCAGATCTGAGGTGCCGGACCGCATGAGTTTGAGCTCAGGTTGTGTGGTGGATGTGCTGGCTGGGTCTCCAGTCACGCTGGGTTTGACTGCGCGTTGAACAACCCGTTGACCAGCTTTGGCTTTGGAACGTTGCCTTGAACGCAGGGGCCTTGCCTTTCATTTCCTGCCCCATGACAGCCTCTGCATGAGCATCTTGCAGTGCCACAGTCTTGAATTCAGGGGTGGCTTGACAGTATCAAACAGACTGCAAAATAGCGCAAGCTGTTGCAGGTTGCACCATGCTGCGTCGCACACGCGGAGCTGGCCGCAACATGCCGCATCAATTGAAGTGTAGAAAGGAGCAACACATGTTTGTGCCAAATCAGACGCGCTGCATCAACGTGTCGCCTTTTGCCCAAAGTTGCCGCAAACTGTCGCGGGCACTATACCCTTTGTTTGATCCCGTCTAGCCACCCTCTATGAATGTGTTTTTGTTGTGTTGCGAGGGCGGCCCTCGATTTACGTTGTTCATTGTGGCTACTAGTACCAAGATCGTGCAGTGAACTTTCGCCTCTTCCGCACAGTGGGCTTAAGCCAGCTCAAGCTTCAAGGCAGCAACCCTGCATTCCTGGAACGGTGCGCACTGCCCAAAGTTTGAAGCGCGCCAACCAAACAGTGGCAAGGAACCACACCAGCCAGGCCAGCATCCAGATCCAGCGATCAAGAGACAGCTGTTGCGAAAACTGGCCTCAAAGCACGAGATGGCTTCAGCAGCAGAGGCCTTTCAGGAAGGTTGACGCGCGACGTGTTGCGAAACTCTCGGAGCCTGCAGCTGGTGAAATGGAGCGCAAACTCTCACGTGCACAAGCGCAGCTACGCAGTTTGACGTGCAGTGCCGATCAAGCAGTTGCGGGCAGTTTCAGGCGCCCTCCATTTGCGAAAAGAGAAACAAAAGTTCGGCACACACGCTTTAGCTCACTGCACACGACAAGAAATGGGGTTGTCTAAAAGTCTGGACTTCCTTTCGGTGGATGCATAAACCCGATAGAACACCCACCCGGTTTAGGGATTCCCCGTTTCTGGAATATCCAAGCATCGCATTGTGGAAACCGTCCCATTTGTGGAAGGCACCTCCCAATGGAGCTGGTTGCGCATTTGTTTGGTTTGGGAACTGTCCCTACGGGCGGCGTCTTTGTGCATGCAAGCAGCTTTTGAACCGAATGCACACCGTCTGTCAAGGGCCTTGCTTTTGCCATGCCAATCTTGCGCCCTTGTGCTGTCTGCGGCTGATTAGAACCAGTCTGGTGGCGTGCCGACTCTCCTTTTGATCGCAAGTCGCGCTCAATGCATGGGCCGATTTCGCCTCACTGAACGTGCTGCGTTCAGGGCAGTGGGGTTGACACGGAAGTTTGCAGCGTCACGCCCTGAACTCACTGGCATGAGCCCATTGTGACAGGCAGTGCCCCTGCGTTTGACTAGCCCGTTGATTAGCTCTGGCTGTGGAACGTTGCCTTGACTGTCTGATCTGGGCCGAGTTACCGACGTAGCGCAACCTGTGCAATTGTGCGTGCGCAGTCAAGTGCGTGAAGAAGTGCTCTGAAAGGCACTCCGGTCTAAGGAGCGTTTGAGTAAGGGGCTGCATGCGCATCTTACAGTGCCCCAGTCGTGAATGTGTGCTTGTTGTGTTGCGCAGGCAGTCCTGGATTTGGTGCTACGTGTTTCATTGCCCGACCGTTGCTGCCATACACCATAGACTCAGGTTTGGCAGACAAGATGTTCCCAAGACTTGTGTAGCCCTGAAGCATGAGGTTCGGCCCGAATCTTTAGCGTTGAATGAAAAATAGAAGGTCCGTGGCAGTTACGTGCTTCCACCGTCCGTTCAGATCTGAGGTGCCGGACCGCATGAGCTCAGGTTGTGTGGTGGATGTGCTGGCTGGGGCTTCAGTCATGCTGCAACCCAGAACCGAGCACGGCTTCAAGCGCAGCTGAGTTTCTGAACAGTCCTGCCAAGCAGTGCTGGAGACTATCGGTGCCGTTTGCTAGAGACCACGGAGAGGAGCTTCTTGGACTCTTGCTCCACAGGTCGTGGTCTTGGCGCATTCAAGCAGCTGCCAAGCAGGCTAAGACACGAAGCCGCAGTGCGGAGCAAGGGCCCCTTTCCGATGCAGATGTTGGGCCAGTTGAAACTTTGCAGTGGGATTGATCGAAGCGGTTGCCGGCCTTCCGGCATCCAGCTTCTGGTTTTGGTGCGCAGTCCTCGCACCTCATGCGCCACTTTGCTTCAGCACATGCATGGCTCAGCTGGTGCAAGCCTGCCAGAATGCCTCAGCTACGATTAAGGCCTTCCAGCATCAGGGTGTGCACACTTCAACACGTGCAGGGCCGTGTGTTGTTTCTCAGTAGCTATTTGGTCTTTTTGCCGCGTTGCCTGCAGCTGATGCTTCAGCAGAATGGACTTGCAGGCCTTCACATTTTAGCGGACAACATGTTTCTACGATACGCACAGCCTCGACCAGTTCAATTCGGTCCGCATCCTTTGCACAGCCTCAAACGTAGAAGCTCCGTGCCGGCTTTTGGGCTACATGCTTCTGCCGTTTGCGTGCGTATGAGGCTGCCAGGCCGCTTCAGCTCGTGCTTAAGTTGTGTGCCAGCCAGGGCTTTTTCACCATGCTGCTTAGGTGGCTGGACCCGGAGCGTGGCCTGGGCCGGGCCAAAAGGGCTGGTGGGCAACTGGGTACTTCAGTGGACAGCCTTAAAGAAGATTCGACCCAAGAGTCAAGTCTTCCAATAGGAGATCCTGGAGATTCAAACACCCAGAAATTTCTGGGCGTTTTGGGTAATGGGTACGATTGGAGGAAAGCTGGGGGTTCTAGTACGAACCGCTGGAAAACTAGTACGAAGGCCGGCGTCTAACGTGCTGCTGGCCGTTTGGGAGGATATTTGAGCCAACAAGATCTGACCTCATATCAATATAGTTTCCTTTCTCGGTACTTGCATTTCCCGTTGCAAGCATGACCCTACATCGGTGCCCAATCAGGGCATGCTTTTGGGCGGGCAGTGCATGAAACAACCCCAATTGACCCACTTTTTGGGATTTGCGCTCGTTTGCGGGGTTTTGCGGGCGTTTTGCGCTCGTTTTGCGACCAAAAGTGTTCACTCGAAGCATGTTTAGACTAAACTTGCTCCGATTTGCGCACCACTCCCCCGCACAGCTAGGATTGAAGGGTGTTGATGGAGGGAAGGATTCGAAGGGCTGTCGAGTTTAGAAGTTTCTGAAGATTCGAACATCAGGTGTAGTGGGCAATATCAAGCTGAATGAGAGAGAAAGCCCTGTGCAAGAAGGAAACACCCAATAATTCCAATTTCTAGGCGTCTTAGTCGTTTTGCGGTAAAAACTATACGAAACAGGCAAGAGCAATACAATGACCAAAAACACCTACTTTTTTCTAGTCGTTTGAAGCTGCAGGATGAGGCCTTGTGAGACTGTACCAGCCCGCGAGACTGCGCGAAGCCAGTCCTGCGCATCTTTCACATTCGTCCAGCTGAGCTTGGGCACCCCAGCACGTAGCATCCTATCAAGCTACCTTTCTGCAGCCTGCAATCGTTGCCGTGATTGCAATGGCTGCATTTCCCGAGGTTAGTAGTGTCCGGTCATTGCTTCCATGCATTGCACCACTTGGACCTGTCCTCTGCAGCTGGCTCAATGTGCCGAAATTCCCACCTTGACTCAGGCGATGCTGACCCTTGCCCGAGGTGTTTTCCCCTCGAAAAAGGGTTTTTCCTTGGAGCGCCAGGCAATGTAAGGGCCTCAACGAGATTCCGGGAGTCGGATGGCTGCTGAAAAAGTTTAAGCCAGATGATATTGATGCCTGCAGTTTTCAAGCAGCGTTTCAACAGTCATCGTGTCGCCAGCTTTAAACGCAGCGGGTGTCCCCAGAATGACAAAGCGGCAAGACCTGGGGTTGTCCAAAAATCCAGGGACCACCTTTGGGTTGGTGGACAAAAAACAGCCGATAGACCAGCAGCCTAGTTTGTGGGTCCCCCGTTTCTGGAAACATCCGGGGGGGGGGGGGTCTTGTTGCAAAAACAGGCCCATCAAGGGAAGGCGCTTGCCGATGGAGCTGGTAGCGCATTTGTTTGGTTTGGGAACTGTCTAGCTTGGCTAGTTCAAAACCTAATCTCCAACAATTAGCGGTGTGCGGATTTCGTGGTTTAGGGATTAGAGTATGCGGATTACCGATTCCAGGTTGCACGGAGTTTCGATGCTCCGGAAGGCTTTGACCCACAACTTGCCGCATGGGTTGTGGATTCAAATGTCTAACCATAGCAAGGATCACGCGGATCACGGATTGTGATTAGGCCTGCGGGGTTTTCAACACGCCAGACTGCGCGGAGTTGGCACGCCATCCGCAGAAAGCAGTTGGGATGTGTTACCCACGGCTAGAGCCAAAGGAGATCACTCTTAGAGCGTTGGCTTATGCCGAGTCGCAGACTCGGCTTTTGCAACCTCTGATGTCGGAGAGCCGCAGTTCCACAGCTGCAAGTAAGGCCGTGTGTCGCGTTCGATGCGCAACTTGCTGCAACGCAAGCGAGAAGACATGGCCCCGTCAGCGGGTGCTTGAGAGAAAGTGGCCTGGAAACTTGTATGTTGGCCAAACAAGATGTTGCTAAGAGACGCGCAGCCCCGATCCAATCGGTGGACCGTTTGTTTACGCGAAGCTTTGTGCCAGCTTTGAGGGGCAGCTACGAGTGTCTTCTGTTTGCGCAGTTCTGAGCGTGCGAGGCCGCACGAGCTTCAATTTCGGGTATGTGCTGGCTGCTCCAGTCATGTTGGAATGTTGAAATTGCTGCCGTGGTTGAGTTGTTGTCTTGAGCTTGACATGCTGTACTGTTCAAGTGGCACACCCGGATATTGCATCAATTGTTTGCTTCAGGCTATCGCGCTCGAGTCGAAAAACAACAGGTGCCTCAGGGTTGATGCGGTGCCTGCTGGTGAGTGTGCAAACTGGCACGAAGGTTTTTGCCTTGGACAGACTCGATGCTGTTTGCACATAGCTCCAGTAGGATTCAGCACTGCTGAATCTGTTGAAGCGCAGGCTCGATCAGGGAGTGGGAAGTATCGCAAGCTAGAAGCTCGAACAGCAAGCAGTGCTTGACCTTTGTCCTACGATCCATTTCCCTGGCAGCCATCCTCGTGCGCCGGAAACACGCACACAACGGCAGAGTCGGACGCGTCCAGAAAAAGGTGTGTGCCACCGGAAGGCGTGATTGATGCGTGGAGTTGGGAAAGACATTGGGAACCCCAGGGCCGTCTGGTTCAGAACCCTTCAGAGCCATGGCAAGGAGAGCTGCAATTTAATAGTAACTATTATTACCCTCCAGTGGCTCCCCTGGCAATGGCTCTGAATTTTCAGTATGGGCCGCAATCCAGCTGCAAATGTCGTCCACAGCTGAGCCTCCTATTTTCGCGTGAGACACAAAGTGTTCGGAACCCTCTCGCTAACAAATGGCCATGGTCCAAAACCAATGGTACCATTTTGGGATAGGTGCATCACCCATTTTAGTCTGTTTTAGTGGGGATTGGGATGTTCACTGGGGGTACGATTTGGCTTTTGACCCATGGCCATGCGACAGATGTCTAGTTGGCTGAGGCCGAAGCGCCCCAGGCGCAGTTGCCTGCCGAGGATGCCGCCCGGCTTCTGGTCGAGTGCGAGTTGCAACCCCCAAGTTTGGCCAACCAAATTTTGTAATTGTGTTTTCAAACGCGGACTTCCGTATTCCAGAGTTCGCCTGTATGGCTTTCAGCAAAAATCAAAGAGGACTTAGCCATTGGGACAAACCCATAAAACGGAGGCATTGGCCTTCAGAATTGAATTGGTGTTCCCCGCTGATATACCGTGGTCAACCGCAAAGCACTGCAAAGCACTGTCCCTTTACGTTCCCGTTTTCATCCCCACCCCTTACAATTGCAATTGGAGAGCAGTGAGGGACCTTCCACACCCCCCCTTCCCTGAAGGTAGGAGGTATCCTTTTTCTAGCAGGGTTGCTGGACAAGAGACGTATGTTGCTGGGAACCCTTGGTTTGCTAAATAACAGAAGGGTGTACAAATGAAACATGCAATGCTTTGTTTGGGTTCCATATCACACTCCAGGAGCGGAGAAAAACCGGGCTGGGTCAAATCTGCTCGCCCAGATTGTTCAGTCGACGATCCAGAAGTGGAAATGAGCCAAATCTGCTGATTTCCCACCCCTCTTCGACCCGGTTGAATCGACGGGACCCGACCTAGCGAAACAAACAGCCACAGTGACCTCCTTTGATTCGAGTTCCTTTGGTTGCTTCTAAGTTTTGGATTGTACCCCGTTTTTCCAGGTTGGGGCAACTGAGTATTGGTTTCCGCTACTTGACTCAGAGGTCCAAGCAGCCCTTGAGCATGATGTTTGCGAGATTTGCGAGGTACTTGGACCAATAGAAAAGGTGTACATGTTTACTTGGTGGTTTCCAGCCATACTCTTGTAAGGCGGTTTTTCAGTTCAAGCGGGATTACATGTCTCACCCGAATAATTTGCATTTCCTTCTCAGAAGGTGCTTGGACTTTTAGGGAAAGGCGTGACTTGAGTTCTATGTTGGACCGCCCCCCCTGCTGAACTGATGGTCCCCCGCCTGCAAAGGGAAGATCTCCCCTCAAGTTGGTCCTTGCACCCTCAGGTCGAAGGCACCACCTTGCTGGGAAGGATAGGCGACAGGAGCGCCAGAGTCATGTCATGAGTTGGGGCTTGCCCTCCTGTACCCGCAAAGTTCTGCCTCAGTTTCGTTTGCTTGTTGCATGAGTGGCGATATTGATGCTTCTCTGGAGTTGGGGCTCCAAAACTCGTCACTGGCCAGATTCTTGCACAAAGCTGCTCACCCAACACTTGAGAACAGATTGCTCGACACTTGGGGCGTAGAAGAAGCTCAAAAAATATGGCCAGACTTACCGCCTGAATTAGATGAATCTTCAGGAGACACGGGGAGCAACCATGTTTCACGAGGGAGCTTTGGTAGGAGAGAACCAGTTGTGCAATGGCACCCTCTCAATCTGTTGTTCTGGTGGGTTCTAAAATGGAAGTGGCCCCATTGACCCACACAAAAAGCACGGTGGTCTTTTTCTATCTTTCTGGGCCCTTGCCCCAGACTCGGGCAGGGTTTTGGGTTCCAGGACCTCAAATGACTGAAATTTTCTCGGCCCCTTGCCTTTGGAAAGCCAAGAGTTGGTTCCAAGCCCGGGTCCAAGTACCTGATCTCTTCAAAAGGTGTCAAAGTACATCTTCGTGGTTTAAACTTGTGGGTTTCAAGGGGTATTTTTGTTTTCAACCATGGACCAAGTTTTCCATGGACCAACGTTGTAACCATGGTGAACATTTTGTCGGGGGGGGGCAACGCGCAACGCAGGAGCCCAGCAAGAAGCAATGGCGCCGCTGTCAGGTGCCCAGCAAAACGCTCGCGTACTTTTTGGGGCGTCAAAGTTCACAAGCTACTTGGACATCCAAATATGTGGATTGTTCCGTGGGAATGTACGGAGCATTTATTTTGTTTTATGGGAAGGGTTGATTTTAAGGATTCCCTTTGCCCAGACTTCAGTCCGTGCGCCTTGGCAATGCCTCCAACTGATCGTGTCCAGAAAGGGACAGAGACCCCCACCCCAGCGTAAGAGTTGAAAGGGGCATGAGGAACACCTGTCTCGTTCCCGCATTTCGAGCCATGGTCAAATTCAGAGGGTAGATTGGTCAAATTCATACCCGAGAGGGTCCAAGTACCTTAGGCCTTTGCAAATGGGTGTGGCTCAAAATTAAACAGGAGGGTTACGCAGGGTGTGGTCCATGTTTCCACTTACCAGGGTTCCGTTTTGGTACCGGTTTGTTGAGCCACAGCCAAATGGATCAACATGCCTTCTTGGAAGCTACCCACGGACTCAGGAGAACAAGGAGCTGCAGGTGCCCACAAAGAGCGCAAAGCTGCAGCTGCCGCTGCGGAAGGAGCAGGATGTGGCGCTTTGGAACAAAGTGGTGTGCGTAGGTGCTCATTCATCGTGATCCTGATCATCTTGATCATCATCATCGTCGTCATCATCATCATCAGCATCATCATCATCATCATCATCATCATCATCATCATCATCATCATCATCATCATCATCATCACTCATCCTTGTTTACCCCCCCCCCCCTCCCCGCTTCCCCCCCCTTTCCTCTTGTGGGCGTTCTTTTTTTTTTTCTCACACCTAGGTACGGCAAGAGATCGAGTCCCTGTGCCGCGCGGTGGCGGAGCAGCTCCCTGGGGGCCCACGCATTTGCTTGCTGGGCGGCGCTGCCACTGGGCTGACGGGAGTTGTTCGCTTTGGTACCCCTGCCCCCCCAGAAATGGGTCGGTGTCCTGGCAAAAGGGGACCCCATCCAAACCAAGCAAGTCCTTTGGCTGTGGCTCAAAATGAAAGCAGCTGAGGCTTGGCAGGTTTTAGTCTTTGCTCCCATATAAGGTGGCAGCCGTTGGGCTCCATTTATTTGAGCCACAGCCAAATGCGGGTTTGTCTCAAAGTCGAGAACCCCAACAAAATGGATGGCTTTCTCGTGGCGTTCCTTGAAAATCGAAACGGGGACCCGAAGCCTGTGGGTGTGGGTGCTCTTTGAGGCTTGGTACCCCCTTTGGGGTTTGGGTGTAAGGGAAACAAAAGGAAACTGATGTTTGATTTGTGGGCTTCCCCACCTGCAAAAGGACTTGGGGAGAGAGTGACCCCGTTTTTGGTTTCGAAGACTGGAGCAATGGAATTTGGGACCCATCCACGCCCCTCTGGAAGGGAGGGTGGAAAAGCGAGCATGGTTCCTACGTTCCTACCAACTCCAAGTAGGCAGGTCTTTTGGTCATGCCCTCAAAAGTGATCCTTTATATCGAAAATGCGGGGGAAGCCTTGGATCCCGCATGTTGCGAATCCCCTCAGCTTGCATGGTCATTCCCTAAAGCGCTAATTGAACCTCAGGGGCTTCCCAACTTGGTTCAGGATGCTCTGTTTCCCCCAAAGACTCCACACAACGCCTGAGAACGTGAGGCGTTTTTCTCACGGGGGGTTGGGATCCTCCGAAAATCGTGGTGGAACGGGAAGTCTTTCCCGGGCTCTCAGACCTCGCGCGAGCCGCACACCAAAGCGGTGGTAGAGGCCATCGCAGCCAGGCGGGAGCGCAGAGAGAGCAAAGTCGAGCAGCCAATGAGCCAAAGAGTTCCCCACCCCCGATGATTCAAAGGGGGGCCGAGTTATCCGTTTTACAATGTAATTGGTAGTTTTCCTGAGCGTCAGATAGCCAAAGGGTGCTATATTATTCAGGGTTGAGTTCAAGCAAGCAAGCGCCCAAGCAAGCAAGCAAGCAAGCAAGCAAGCAAGCAAGCAAGCAAGCAAGCAAGCAAGCAAGCAAGCAAGCACCCAAGCAAGCAATCAAGCAAGCAAGCCAGCCAGCAAGCAAGCAAGCAAGCCAACAAGCAAGCAAGCAAGCAAGCACCCAAGGAAGCAAGGAAGCAAGCAAAAGCAAGCAAAAGCAAGCAAAATCAAGCAACAGCAAGCAAAAGCAAGCAAAAGCAAGCAAACGCAAGCAAAAGCAAGCAAACGCAAGCAGAAGCAAGCAAACGCAAGCAGAAGCAAGCAAAAGCAAGCAAACGCAAGCAAACGCACGCAAGCAAGCAAGCACCCAAGGAAGCAAGGAAGCAAGGAAGCAAGCAAGCAAGCAACAAGCAAGAAGCAAGCAAGCAAGCAAGCAAGCACCAAAGCAAGCAAGCCAGCCAGCCAGCCAGCAAGCAGGCAAGCAAGCAAGCAATGAAGCACCCTGAGCCCCCCCAACATACTTTTACACACAACACCACCACCTGCCCCTCCCTTGAACTCTAAAACCTGACTAAGCCCGCCTTTATCCCCAACTCAACCAACTCAACCAACCCAACTGCCAACCAGCCCAAGCTCCATCTGAACCCACCCTAGACCAATCCTAAGCCGACCCACCTAAAGCAAACGCAAACACACCCTAAGCACGCCACCCTAAACCTACAACTCTGAACCCCTAAGCCCACCCTAAGCCCACCCTAAGCCCACCCTAAGCCCACCCTAAACCACCCTACACCCACCCCAAAGCTAACTTAAACCAACCTGGAACGGACCCCAAAGCCCGCCCTAAACCAACCCCCCACCTTTTCAACGCACCCTGAACCTGAACCCACCCCAAAATCCAAAACCAAAAGCCGCCCTAAACTAACCCTGAACGCCCTAAACCACCCTACAAGAGCCTAGATGCCTGTCACTCAGCTTGCTTACCCCGAACGCACCCCTAAACCCATCCTACCCTAAACCACCCCAAACCCATCCTAAACCTACCCAACTAAATCCAACCTAAACCTACCCGAAGCCTACCCCAAGCCTAGGACCTTGAACCGACCTTGAACCCCGTAAACCTAAACCCAACCAACACTGAACCCCACCCTAAACTAGCAGAACCACACCAAACCCACCTTAAACCCACGTTAATCCTCAACCAAGCCAACCTTGCGCCAACCCAAGCTCCATCTAACCCTCAACCTAAGGCCCCAAACCGCCCAAACCAAACCCAAACCCCCAACCACCCTAAACCCTAAGCGCGCCCTAGACCCACCTTAACCCAGCGAGACGCCAAAGGTGACCCGAAAATACAATTCCCAAAAGCTCTGCACAAAATTCTCGAAAATTACCTTAACCAAATAGCAGTTTGGCTTCATATCTTGACTCAAGCAGGAAACGGGCGCGTCCCGAAATTGAGGACCCTTAGACCTGATTGATCTCCTTTCACATTGATCTCCTGATTTTTGCACATCATCAACAAATTGCCAAAAGGCCTTGAGCAATCAATCAGCGACCAGTTGATCTGTTTGGTCCGTGAGCTTCCGGATAGGCTGGCGCCCATTCTGCCCAGCAACGCGGTGGTCCTTACTGGGGGCCTGCCTGGTATTCAGGAGCCGTCGCTTTTTGTCAGCGGCGGAACACGGGAATTTGCCGAAGAACCATCAATGCGTATAGCATCCGACAGGAAGCTGCTGGTTAGAACCGATTTGGGGAAGCCAAACTGATGGTTGTCGTTGGGAAACATTTTGCATTTGTGCGGTTTGGTGGTTGAAATCGGAAACTTCATCCTGACCGCTACTCAGATGAAAAAAATACTCATTGGCGGTTCCTCCCAGTCCCTAGTACCCCACGAAAGCCATGTACATGTCACACGAACGGTTTTTTATCCATGCTGTATACTTGCAATATATCGAAACCAACGGTACCTTCCCGGTGCCCATTTCAGCAGATTATGGGATGCTCGCGAGGAAACCATGGCCACAACATTGGCACTGCATGGCTTCACCCGCGTGGTGCCGCTTGGCGGGGAAAAGGAATCCAATTGACCCAGACCTCCCGTGCCCTTGCTGACCTTTTTTTCGGGGCGTTTTCTGTCCTCTAAAATCAATCAACCTGAAAGCAAGACTGATTGTTTCCACTGGAAATCCACTTGATGTGTGAGCTGACGCGTGTTCAGTCAATGAAAGGACATGTTGGCATCGAAGATGTCTTTACAGCTCTTAGCTTGTTTTTGCTCGGAACGTATGTTGGACTTTCCTGACCCCTTATTAAACACCCTGTTCAGAAGCGCTTTGCATCATGCCATTGTGCCAACCGAGGAACCTCGTCCACCTTGGCCACATCAGTGGACGCTTGGCTTACAGCTCAAGCGGGAAACTCCCAACACCTGCGCTTCTGTGCCCCCTGGTTTCCGGACAATAAAGCAATTCAGCACACATAATTCTCAAAAAGACGCAGCCGGTAGCCGGAAAAAATGCTGAGGGATTCAGGAGACTATAGACGCTTCGTGGACCTAGATAGTCCAGGGAAAACTCACACCTAAACTGCTACTGGTGACGTGGCACAGCATTCGCTTTGTTGCAAGTCGGAGCCCTTCGCATTAAGAATGAAGTATCCGTGCCGTTGGCTCTCTTGTGTCATCATTAGGTGCCCAGCTGCAACGCCTTCCTGGATGAAGATTGCTTTGTTTGTTGTGTTGGCTGTTTTAGGTTGTTGCGTTGTGTGTGTGTGTGTGTGTTTGCTTTCAATTGTTTTCTTTTCTTTTGGGAAGAGCCTTTGGGGAAGCCTTCCTATGCACCTAGTCATTTGGTAGCTTTCACCAGAGAGGCATTCTCAGGTCTAGTTCTTGTCCTATGAGCTGTTCAAATCTGCAAGATCCAAGGGCCCAAGGGTTTACCAAAGGAGTCCTTGTCCCTTTCGAATTCGATTTCCCAACAGAACATCGAATTTGACGTAACTTTAAGACTGTTACACTCTCAAGGCTCAGACTAAAACAGGGAATTTTGTCTATCCGCTGAGAACTTGGGACCCTTGTTTTGGGACTCGATCATCCGAATGGATGGCCTGGCCGCAAAAAAAAAATCCCCCGGTGATTTTGTGAATCAAGTCATCCCAAGCCAGGGTCGCTCCGCTTCCCAAAGCTCCAGGCTTTGGATTTCCCGAGGCTACCGTAGCTTGAGACACATGTTGGGCATCCCCAGCTTGCAAGCAAACCATATCAAATCACAGACCAGGATAGATCACGGTACACTGCCGTGCTTCTCTGTTCCCTTGCTTGCAATCTATGTCGGCACTGCAGATTCCCCCCATAAAAACGGCACCCTTCCTCCCACGTTGCCATGGCACCTGTGGGAGGGTACTTGGAAGATCGGTTTCCTCTTGGACCATTTCCTTGTCAGGTGCCATGGCAACGTGGCACAGATGGTGCCCCCCCCCCCTCGGCCCCGGCCCCCGGCGCGAGCGAGGCTATGCCGGTGAAGACCTGGTGGCCGGCATGGATGCGGCGGAGCGGCGCCAAGTGCTCGGACGGGTAGGAGAGGGCGGGCTCCTGCCGGCTGGCACTGACCGGCAGAACAGCAGGTCGTTTCTTTTGGTACCTGCGGAGGAACCAAAACCCAAAGAGAAGTCGTTTGAGCATTTTGGGGGTCTGCAGTGCAGAATGAGCTCACCCACAAAGCAACTTGCTTGGGAAATCCTTTTGCCAGATTGTGGAGGATCATTGGCTCAGATCTGCGGCTTCGATGTCGAGTCACTGGATCCCGGAAATCGCAGGAGATGTCTACATCTGCATTGAGGGTGGCCCTGGTGTGGCGGAGGAAGCGCAGATTGCACATGCGCGAGGCAGGGTGAAACTTTTGGCACTACGCGAACAGATCAACAAACGCTTTTCTCATGAACTGGTTCCGATCGTTTGCACCAAGGATCCGAAGAGAATCCATTTGTGGGAGCCCATTTTGGGTCAACCAATGAATGTCTGGCAATGTGACCACAACGCCTTCCTTGCCAGTATTGGTCAGTTTAGGCACTTGGTTCCGGAAGTCAAGGCGACCAGTTTGGTTTCCCTTTACCAGGGTTGCAATTGTTCTGCCAGGGGTTTCGGAGCAACCCTGTTAGGCACGTTCCCTCACTCAGCTTTTGTGGCAGATCATGTTCGTGGGAAACATAATTTCCGGACCTTGACCAACGCACTCAGGAAGCGAGTTTTGACTTTGTTCAGCTCTCGTTTGAACTTGTCCAGATGACAGATGTTTGAACTTTTTCCAGATGGCAGGTGTTTCCCTTGCAGGTCCCACCAGGGAAAACGGCATTCGTATCAGTGATCCCATTGGTAGCCACCATAAAGGTGGCAGTGTTTCTTGGGTTTCCCCTACCTAAACGCAACCCAAAAGGGGAGCTTAAGTTAGGGATGCCCCCTCCATTTTGAAAAAACACAATTGGTGAATCAAACTATAGTTAGGCAACAAACAGGATCCAGGTGGGCGTGTTGTCTTCATTCGTGCACTGATTCACATGTTCAGAGCGGAGCTATTGCAGCCTGTGACCATGAGTTGCCATGGCTTACTAAGGATCATTAAGGGTCGTGTCCTTCCCATGCTCCCTCCTTTTCATGGCGTTGAATCAGTATGGGTACGGGTCAAAATAGGGGCACCCAAAATGGGCGCTGCTTCTGTTGGCTTCCCTTGATACCAATCCCAAAACGGGAACCTGCAAAAGCAAAATCAACCACAACCACATACGACCTCACAGAACACACAGAGTTCTGCCATGGCTTTGAATCAGTATTGGATATGTGTAAGTTGTTCACAGACCAGCGTTTGTCTTCCAGCAGACAAACAAGGGGCTAGAAGGGGAGTTGAGATTATTTTCTAACAAAAATCTCACTTGCCTTTTGGCTTCCCCTTGGTCCCTTTTTGGCCCCAAAGCCGATCACCTACTCACTTCTGCTCACTTCCTGCGTTTCTTTTCACTTCAGTCACTTTTTGGGTTTGGACAAACAACCCGTTTGGTTTAGTTTTAGTTTGGTTTTCCTTTTTAGTGGTAAACAACCAGTTTGGTTACCCTTGTGACGCCATCCACTGGATCGGAAGTGAGTCAGAGCCGAGGCGCCGTGGTGCTGCCGCTGCCCTGCAGCGGCGGCGCTTCCGCGGGAGCCTTTGGCTTTCCCCAGAAGGCCTTGGAGCGTCCCCGGCAGCTCGGCCTCGGATGGTCCACCGGATGGTCCACCGAAAGTTCCGCTTCGGTGCGATTTTTTTGCTTGGGATGTGTTTTTTGTTTGTTGTTTGTTGTTTCCGCTGAATTAGCACTGTCAAAATATGGGTTTTTAGGGATACGATGGTTTCGTCCGGTTGTTGCCCTTTAAATCCAGCACTATAGAAAAGTCTGTGTTTTAGGGGGACGATGGTGTTTTTTTTTGATTTTCTGTTGTTTGCCGTCAAAACCACCCAAAAAAAAGCGTCAATGAAAAGACACCCCCCGTACATAATGCCGACCCCTGATGAATAAGCCCCCCCCCCCCCCCACTTGTTTTTTAGGGCGGGCCCTCGTTAGTTGGAGCAATCCTTTTGGGGACCCCCTGACTATTAAGAGCTGAGGGCTTGTTAATCAGGGGTCCGTCCGTTTAAGCCCAGCTAGTTGGGGGCGTGGACACCATTTTGGATACTGGGCCGTGGGTTTCCCAATTTTGGGGTGGAAAGAGGCTCCCCTGGGTGGGGGCTCTTGTCAGGGGCGCTCTCTGCTTTTTTAATGTTTGTTTTAGTTTCGCTCGTCCTTTTTGGTTGGGGTATAACTTGTCCCTTTTTAGTTGAGGGCTTACGCTGTCGGGGTGATCTCCGGAACTGACTCACGCCCGATCTCTTGAGGATTCCTGGATGATCCTTCTTGGATGAGTTGTGAGTTGTTTTCTTACATCATGTTGGCCATTTGCAAGTGTTCTTCATAGGGTGATGTTTGACCTAGACCTCCGGTTGTGCTCTTTTTCCTGTTTCCAGGTTGGTCTCTGTTCACAATCAACCAAAAGAAGGTGTCCAGCGTTTCAGTCTCGGACACATACGGTCAACATGTGTTGGCAGTGTATAGTCAGTTTGAGAGGGACAACAATCGGGGGCTCAATGAATATCCTGCAAAAGGGGGCCGGAACCCTTTGTCCGTGTCTAAGACGGGAGTAGAATAGATGCTGATCGTGGCTCATATGTCATATGTGCCATGGGCAGAACAGCCGTTTCGTCGGGGTGGATAGGCATCAGCATGGTCATCAACCTTTTTAGTGGGCTTTGACGTACTGGGTCCTGCTGTGCCCCTCGAGTGCAACCTCTTCAAGGGACTCAGAAAAAGGAATGGCGTTCAAGGGTGACCCCAAAGAGTGTTCAAGAGATAGCTATGCCTCCAAGTGGTAATATTATGTGTCAACATAGACAAACCCAACAGTTGCATCCTTGGAGTTGTTAATTTCCTCAGCCTCGGCCATATAAAACGGGGTACCCACATTACATGGGTTTTCAATGCCAAATGGGGGGTGCCTTTTGGACCCCCAAAATGGGGGGGGGGGGGGGGGGCGGTTTCCCTGTAAGATCCACAAAAGTGGGCTACCAACCAAGAAATAAAAACGAAGAAAGAACCCCCCCCCCCTCCACATTTGGGTTTTCCTGGTGTGTTCCCTTTACATCCACCAAACACTTGCTGGTTCTTAGGGAATGAGTTGGAATGACCCCCAAGAAACCCTCTGGTGTGGCTATAGACCATGACCCTTGCTGGTTCTTAGGGAATAGACCGTTCCCTATTTGGGTGTGGCTCAAAGTTACGCAGGTCCTAGTCTTAGTTTCATACCAGAAGCCACTCTGGGTGTACTATTTGAGCATCCATTTTGCTTTACCAAACAGGCCGACACGTCCCAATATAGTTGTTGTTGGGACACATTTCCCATTTTTGCTTCTTGTGGTTTAGCGCTTGAACTCCAAATCTACTTAACTGCTAAACAAATGACAAATGAAACGCATTTTGCTCCCCAAGCCCAACGTCACCCAAGCCGAGCGCCCAGCCAGCGGCGCGAGCCCGCGAGCCCCCGAGCCCCCGAGCCGCGAGCGATCGAGGTTCGCCAGCCCGGAGGACTGGGCGGCGCTGAAGGATCCCCAGAGGGCGGCGGAGGCCACGGCGGGGAGCCTCAGGCCATGGCGAGCATCGCGTGGAGCAAAACGGACGAGGACCGGTGCCAAGCCGCTGGCTTCGGGGAATATGTCATATTATGTATATCATATATATATATATATATTATGTGATCTTAAAGGACGTTATATTATGTGTATATATGTATTATGTGATCTTAAAGGACTTGTTTGTTTGTTGTTTGGGGGGAAGGGGAGGGTGTGGGGGGTGGGGGGTATGTGCTTGCTTCGGGGGTATATTCTTAGAAGACTTGTTTTGTTTGTTTTTTGCTTTTTTGTATTTTTTGTTGGGATTTCTGCAAAGGGCAGGTTTCAGAGGGCATGTCACTGAAGAAAGCCGGCTTTGCATGGAACAAATAATTACCTCCATGACAGACATAAGTGCCAAAAGCGAATCGACCGGATGTTACACAGTGGTTTCGATTCAAGGGGGTTCCCTTTTGGTGCGCTGTTTGGTCAAGGTTTCAAGAGGTCAACGTTTTGTTTCCAGGTTGGCATGTATGGTTGTTTCATTTTTCTGTGACAGGCCTTTCTTGGTTTCCCAAACGGCCCAAGCAAGGGGCGTCTTACCTGCAAGGATTTGTCACTTTCCCCGAGCCAATGTTCATCCTCCCTCTAATTGGTGTTTTGGATTGGTGGTTTGGTGACTAGGGGGTAGCTTCCAATTCATCCTCTAGAAGAGCCAGGGGTTCAACTCCCCACGCCAATCCAAACCACCACAGGTACCTTGAAATGCACCCCCCCTTGAAATCAAAGTGACCAAGTCGACGGCCCACTTTAGAGCACGGGCCAGTTGCCGCCATGTCCCGCCGAAAGATCTGAATTTCAGGAACCGCATGTTGACCATTTTTGACTACCAGGTTCCCTCTTTGCGCTCGCCCATGGTCCACTTCCATTTGCTGAAGTGAATATGTGTTGTTTTCCCTTGGACTTTAGAGGGCATCGATTTCTCAACTGGACACATGTCTTTTTCCACGGGGCGCAAACGCAAATGGAAGTCCAGTTGGCCTGTGGTAGCCACTTCCATCAGCCCAGGTGGACATCCTGCGTGGAGCTTTGAAGGAGACGAGTGGTTGGCCTGTAAGGGTTCAGCCTCGAGTGCATTGAGTCACACCCCTCAAAAGGAACGGCGGCCTGTGCATAGGCCCAGTATTCCATTTCCCTGTACAGTAGGCAGCCAAGACAACCCTTCACAAACCAGAAATGAAGATTGCTGGTTACCTACTAGAGCGGCAACTGGGATCCATCGGGAGGGTCAAGCTTTCTTTTTGAGCCCTCAGGTTTGTGTTGGTTCCAGATCGAAGCATCGGGCCAGGAGATGAGGCAGCGAGGCCAGATTGTAGATGTTTGGGTGCCTGCTGCAAATACCTTCTTGTTTGAGGGTATGACGTCAACACCCGACTTTTACCTCTTTTTTTTTCAACACAGGAGGCATTGAAGCGATGGAAGGCCGTGTTTTCAGACCATGTCCTAAACTAAGCGGGTGTTTGGCGTAGAAGGATGTGTCTTCGTTGGGAACCTCAAACACGGGTGGACATTACCAACACATTTTGCACTTGGGCTCGAGGCTGCTCATGGACCCCGAGGAAGTTGAACACCGTGTTAGAGATGGCTTCGTTCGGTCCCAAAGAAGTCACGCATGACCCACTTTAGAGTTTCGACCAATGGATGCCCAAGAGTTTCCAATTGAAAGATGTTGCAACCAGGTGATGTTTGCGAGGTGATACTCTGGATGAACAAATCCTGCAATAGTTGGCAGGTGGTCTATCTCAGTATTCATTGGGCTTCATTCATCCCAACTGGCTAGCCAGGCGGAGGCCTTGCAGATAGCTCACCCGATGCCGCTTTGCTGGAGCAATCTCAGGGATGGCACCACTGTCCTTGATCTTTTGGTGACGCATAGAGAGTGACTTTAAAGAGAAATAGCCAAGCAAAGGAGTGCCCAAAGAACTATCAAATGGTTTAGGCATTTTCGGAGGGGTTGGGAAATGGCCCTTCGGGGCAACTGCGGTTGGGAGTCGTGCTTGGCCAAAAGCCTCGGGGGGATCCTTCTTTTCCGGGAACCATCCCAGGGGAACCAGCTGTTGAAAAGAAAGGTGGGACTAATGGAAAAGGAATAAATCGGTAGAACAAAAAAAAAAAAAAACCAACATACCAAGCACCCTCGACTCCGAGCTCTGAGGTAATGGCCACAGGGCCTTGCATGGGCACTTGCGCCTTGTGAATGCGGCTTTTCGGCGTGGCTCGCCATAGATCCGCTGCGAGATTTGGGTCCAGGTAGCCCTTGATGTCTTGACACTTCAAGTGAAGGGCAGGCAAATCGGGAAAGCGGATCGCACGGCATGCCTTGAGCATGGAATTGATTACTCGCCCCGCGGAATTCTGGCAGCGCCCGGTCACCATGGGCGATAAAAGATGCCAGACTTGGACAGGACTCGGACCCGAAGGATATGAAGCTGAAGGTGAGGCCCCCATTGAAGCCACCAAGTCCCATGTCATTTTCTCGGGGTTGTCTACTTAAGGAAAACCAAAGTGACACCGACCCTTTACAAAGCTGCTTTGGTCCAAGGTTCCGTTTCGTTCAGGGTACCCGTGTTACCTGTCGGTTGTGTTTTCATGAGAACCAAAGGCACACCTGTGAAATTGGCGTTCCGTTGGCCCAAGCTCCCTGTCCGGCGACGGCCCAGAAATCCGAGAGGCTTGCCTGGTGACCAGCTGGTCCGAGAGGCAACCCACCGCTGCAAGCTAACAACGCTTGGGCGCGCTTGGGAATTCGGCGGAGCCGGCCCCGCGAAGGTGAGGACAAGATGCCAGTTCAGATTTGGATCTGTTGAAATGTTACTCTCCCGCTTGCTGTGGAATCAACCAAAGGGTTCCCATCAACCAAAGGGTTCCCATCAACCAAAGGGTTCCCGCTTGCTGTGGAGCACCCTTCAATATGTTTGTTGCCCATGAATTCCTGTGTCATGTGCATCAAAGGGTGCACGACCCACATCAACACATACCGGGCGCCATGTGATTCGTGGACTAAGGGGCCACAAGGGGAGTTCTGAAGCCAGACTCATCTCGCGGGCCTTCTGGCTCCGCGGCATATAGCCTCAATTACATGAGGGCCCAAAGGGGTCCTGAGGGAAAGATGTCTGCGAAGCGTTTCTTGACTGTTTCGCATCTCAGAGCAACCGTCTCCAAGCTCATTTGTCCGATGTGCATTGGTACTGGTGAGGGACATCGGACGGGTTTCGACAGCGAGCATAGCTCGATGCGGCCATTGAAAAGCGTTGCCGAGCGTGGGGATTGCCCTCAGACTCAAAAGAAAGCAAGGCCCCCAGCCCAGGACCGCTTTTTCGTGCGGGAAAAAAGCCTCCTTTACTCTTCGACGATCAGCCAACGCTTGAAGGCGTCCCGGGAGGCCTAGGTCTGGGTGAACCGCAGCACCTGATGCATAGGTATGACGTTGAAGAGAACCACATGTGCTCAACCGAACGACAACTTCGGCTTGTTCCTATACATTTAACGTGGCGAGACGGTATTTGACTGACTTTCAGATACTAGGTTTCGGGCTCCCATTTTGATAGCTTCCAGGATTGGAGGAAGGGTCCGAGTTGGTATAAGCATCCACATGCCTGTAGTATGTCTATGTATATATATATATATATACATGCCATATATACGTAGATGTGTAGAATTACATATGGATACCCATGCATATATATATATATATATATATATGTTACATATGTATGCTGTGCGTGCGTAGGTGTGTGTGAATCACAGCTGAACTCCACAGCCCTTGCCTGGGCTCAAGCCCTCGGGGCTTCTCGGCTCCCGATGGCGCTGGCCTACGAGACGTGCGGCGCCTGGCTCGCGACGCGGGGAGAGGTCGTGGAAACCAACCTGCGGCGCGTTTTTAGCTTCAAAGGGTTGGGTTGCAGAAAATTCTGCAGGAGACTGATTTGGGGTGTTCAGGGGGTGATTCAGGGACGATTGGAAACGGTTTGATCTCCCGGCTTACACTGAAGCACATCGCTATGTGTCTTTATGGGGTGTAACATACTTCATGAGGCTACATGTGTGCCTGTCTTTGCCAAAGTGGCCGGAGACGGAGCAAGAAAATGACCCGGGAATAACTTGGTTTGTGTTGCTTCTTAATTTCAGAATTTTTACCCAATCAAGCGTTCTGATTAATCTAGGAACTACACAAAGGCCAGTGCGCACTCTTCCCGAGCAAAGTGACGTGGCAAAGTTAATCCCAAAGTTGTGCAGCAAAGAACTTCACTCAATCGAGGCCAGCTTGAGGATTCTTCAGAGAATCTTGAATGGCCCCATCTTTCCTTTCGAGCCCGAACACTATGCCGTAGTATTCAATGGGCTGGTTACCGAGACGCTCGGCGCGGCCTTGCACAACGGAGATTGTCACACCAGACTCGTTGCCTCGCAGCTTCCCGAACCTCCCCGCTGTGGAGACCTTCATGTGCATTCCTTCAGCGCCCGGGGACCTCCCCGAACGTGCAGAAACGCGGCGGAAAAGCCTCGCGTGGCGACAGCGGCGCGTCTCTCAAGTGGGAACGCGTCGTTCTTGAGGCGCGCGGCCATTTCCTGTAGATTTCCCTGCAACCACACCCTTGCTAGGCGTTGCGTAATTTACACACGGTTATCCACCAGGCCAAGGTCCACCGCAACTGGGATGAACATAAGGTCCGAGTCCAAAGCCGGGAAGCATGCTTCCAACTTTGGGCTGGGAGGATCCGGCTTCTTGAGTAGGAGGTGGGATTTTCATGTATCCGTTGAGGAGCATTGAGTACTCCCCAATTCGCGGAAGGACCCAAGATTTCTGTAACCATCAGGCTGCGTTTTGGGGGTTCCATGTTGCCCGTTCCAAGAATCATGGAGTGGACAAGGGGCCTTTCAGGGGGGGACACGGGGCCTTGTCATGCGCACTTCTATAGAAGGCAAAGGCGCAATCTGTTTATTTCTCCCACCAACGAACGTGGATGTTCACCGGCTGCTTTCCAGAAGAAACACCGTCTTGCAACAGGGGGTTTGTGCACCACACCATGTTGGGAGGGGATTCCCGCCACGCATTTGCGAGAATTCCCGCTGTGAAAAAAGGGGGCCGCCCTGAGATACTTTGAAACCATGCAAAACCACAACGTTTGTTGGTATTTACAGGGGAATCATCCGAAACCTGGGTCTCTTGGGTGGTGCAGGATTTTGTCCATCCACAGTAGTTGCCCCTGTTGCGACCACAGACACCACGCGGGGAATTCGCTAGGCCCCAGGAGAGACGCCGTAGGGAGGAGCAGGAGATCCGGCAGCAAGTGGCTGAGGAGTGCGGAGACTCAGGCAATTCCATATCTTGAGATCGTGTGTTTTCTTTTCAATTTGACACCCCTCAAAATTCTGTGGATGGGCAGAATTTCTTTATGGGAGTTCACCTTGAACAAACGAGGTGTTGCCAAGATATTCTCCCGCACCTATGGTCGTCTTGGGAACATGGGGAGTAGCCTTCAAGCGGGGCTATGGGGGCCGGGCTGACAGCCTGGCCCCGAAGGCCGATGCACAGCACCTCCGCGAGGAATCCTTTGTATGCCGAAGCCCACGGGATTCGAGTTCTCAGCTCCCTTCGAGCTCTTCTTACCTCTTAAACAACACAACTTTTCTCAACTTTTTGGGGGTAACATGGGCTATATGTCTGTAGATTAACTTCCCCAGGGCTTGGAGTTTTAAGGGGTAAGTCTTGGGTGTGGTTCAAATTTTAAACCACCAGAAATCGGACCCGTTGGGTCGTAGCCAACTCCATGGTGGGTACCAGTTTTTGAGCCACACCCACTTGAGTCGCAGCAAACCTGAGCTTAGGTTCAATCCCCACAGGCTGCAAGAAGGCGCGGACTTGGAGAAGCGTCAGAACGCGCACGCGACATGTGCGACATGCGACGCAGGTGACCATTTGCAGAATGTGGGCCGGGCACCGCAGCATCGCTGCAGAGATATTTGTTTTAGTTGTTTGGCGGGTGTCATGGTTTTCAGATAGATGTTTGCACCTGGAGAATGGTTGCATGCGCCGAGGAAGGCCGGGCTCCTGGAAATTCGGAAAGCCCATTGTAAAGCGTTGTGGCTTTGTCAGGTTCCATGTTGGGAGGCCCATCTCTAGCAAGATGGGTATTTGTCAACATTACAGGGGGCCAAAACAATGGCGGTGTTCCTTTTGTGGCCGTGAATAGGACACTGAGCTGCAAAGGGCCCCATGGTTCTCCCCAAGGCCGCTGGGGGCCCAGACACCGGGCCTTGAGGCGCCACGGAGGTAATCTACGGTGGCCAGACCTCCAGCCGGCCAAAGGATGTGCGACAAGTGGGGGGTTGGTTTGCCGGGTTGGGCAATATAGCCCTGTGTGTGTGTGCGGTTTTGAGAATAATTATTTGCCCGTTTCAGCTTGGTTCAAACGGAAACCAAACGAAAACAACAGCTTTTAGTACTTTGAGACGCCCGTGTGTGCCACGGTCAAAAGACCACTTTACTCGGGCTCGGTAGATGGCCGTTGCAAAATGACCATGACTCACGCATGTAGGGAGCACGTATGGAAAGCAAGCCATCCGTGTTGGCTTTTGGGTTTTCTTTTGGCTTCCCTGAAATCCGTCCAAAGGGACAGGCCCATGTGTTAAGGGTATTGTTTGTGACGCAAATGCGAAGCTAAAAGGGATATCCGGGAATAGTTTTTCACAAATGGGTTTTGGGGGCCTCCCCCATATTGCAGACAAAGCCATAAACATCAACATACAAATACCATAAACCCTGCCACCCGCCGGAACATACCAGGCAGTCCCTTTTAGAGGACAACCCCCAGGTTGCAAGCTAGTTGGTGAGAGGATACATACTTGATATACAACCACCGTGGTAGATACTTCACGTAGCTGTAATCTAGGTATAGGGCAATGGAAGGCTCCACGTGGGTGCAAGATCACCTAAGCAAAGCTCAAAGCTGAAAGCTGAAAGGTCGGGGGCGAAATGGCGAGAAGGTCGGGTCGCTTCCCAGGAGCTTAGCTTGGTCAAGGTCCAGCGGCCGCTGCCCAGCGGCGGGCCAGGGGTCCTGGCTGGCATGGCGCGTGGAACCTGACGTTGAGGGGTCTAGGAAGACGACCTGCCTAAAGGGATCTGGATTTAGTGAGAGGAGTCAGGAGTCAACTCTTCGTAATTATTTGGCCCCTATGATTTTGGTCTCTCCTTCC